GAAAGGAAACAGATGTCATCCGTTTACAAATGCCAAATTGTGCAACACCACATGTATCCATAATGCAAGAGGTTTTGAAATAGCATGAATACACTGCTAAAGCAAGCTGATCATATGAAAACCCAAGTTTTAAACTCTACAATGGGATTGGCCAACCTTTTTCCCTGACAGGGGGAATCTATATTGGTGCCTATATTGGCTGGAGCCAGAGCTTAAGTCAAAAGTGTTCTGGATTGCTCCTTTTGTGACGGAATTACACAGAAAGGAGAGCACCATAATTTTGTTGTTGAGAAATGACAAAAATTGTGAGAGGGACAAAACTCTTGGACATAAAAAGCCCTGGAAAATGCTATAATACAAGAAAGCTTCCGCCTCCTCATGGACCATCTAGCCTAAGGGATCACTGCAACTCATGAGGCTGCCTCCATGTAAGGCATCTTCACAAAGATTAAAGCAGCTCGCTGAGTCACTTGAGAATGTAAACGTTAAACTTACATTGTCCAGAAATGCTCATGTAAATTTAAAAATGTCCCCCACATTCTGTCAAACAATAACAATCAGATGATAACATAAATAACAAAAGAAAAGCTTCATATATGAAACCGTGTACAGTCCCACATCACCACTGGCAGCTGTGGGATATTCCCTTCTACATAATGAGGACTTCCTCACTCAAGTAGGTAGATAAGTTGAATTTTTGTAGAAATTTTTTAAAAATAGTTTTTGTTTTTGATTCTTTTGGGTGGGCATATTTCAGTCAACCAGATGTCAGTGCAAAAGAGGTTCACTTCGAATTTAAAGAATCTGAGCCCAGAAATTTCTGTTTTAAGTACCAGAATGGAACTTCTGCATAACAATCCACTCCGGGTCGTCACCCCCCCCCGACTACTTTCTTCATATCAGCAGTATAATTTTGGGGTAGGGTGGGAGTGGGGTAGTTGTTGGGATTGTTTAAAAAAACGGAGAGTCGGAAATCCTTGTTGATCTACTTCAAATCACCCCAAGATCTACCAGTAGATACTGATCTACCTTCTGGCCACCCTTGCATCAAGAGGGCAAATCATAACAATACTGAACACATTTCATTAGTAATATGTCATACCTCTAGCAGTCCCCGAAGCTGAGCTCCTTCCTGAAGTGCAGATTTATTGCTATGAGCTTCTTTAGGGCCTGGCCCAAGGAGTATTTTCCCACACACGTTACATAGTAAAATAAATTATGAAATTTCTTGAAATTTCATTCTGAGAAATTAAATACTGTATTGGCCTGAATATAAGCCACACTTTTTTTTTTTCCAAATTTGGGCCGTGGAAAGTTAAAGTGTGGCTTATATTCGTGAACTTACCATGCCCCCCCCCATAAGGAAGCAGCCCAGGAGCACAGGGCAATGGTGTGCAGCCTGCCCGGCACTCCCAAGCCTCCCCCGGCACCGGCTTGGGGAGGTAGTGCCGGGAGTGTCGTAGTGCTGGGAGGCGGGCTGCACCCGCAAATAAGCCTTGATTTTTAAAGACGTGGCTTATTTGCAGGTGTGTCTTATATTTGGGCCAATACGGTAGATTCAGAAATTGTGTCAGATCTCATCTGTGGCTGATGTCTTTAGAACTGTCTTTATGCAGCAATATAAATGTTACATGAAGAGAACACAATCATTCGTACAGGATATGTCATCTGTCTCCAAACTTGGCAACCCTCAAATAAAAAATATGGAGTGTTATGGTGAGATTAACAATGATGATGATACAGATATGGTTCTTGCCCTATTATATGTCACTAGAGTTGTGCAGTTTTCAAAAGGCAGTTGTTGACAGTTGGTTTGCATATATAAATACAATTGTATGGAACCCTTGACTTATATAAATAGCAGAGATAATTGCACTGTTCGGTGGAGAGACTAACAGAAGGGGAACTGGGATACTTTGTTAGCAAACTTGATTATTTACTCTGGTGTTATATCTACAGTTTACCCTGGAAGGTCCAAAACTTCAACCAGTATAAACATTGTACACAGCACTTGCATGAATTTTAAAAGCTAAGTTTGGTTGCTTTACCCCTCCAGCCTCACTTTGTTCAAACCTCTGCTGTTGTTTAATACTGCCACTTTCCTGTGCCCTCCATCCCCTCTCCCACCCGGACTTCATGCAAATCCAGGATTGTGATGCAGCAGCACAAATCCTCCAACAGCAGCTGTGCAAAGATAGCCTTACAAGTTTATGTATATAGGTATGTGTGTGTGTGTGTGTATCCTAGATCCCTAAGTTACTTAGCACCAAACACAGCAATTATATCAGTAATGAATTTGTCCATCCATGTCAAATAATAAATACGTTTTAGTGATATAGGTATGTATGTATCAGGCTCAGAGTACCTATTTAGCATTCAACAGACTGACTTGCCTTCCAAGGTTTTGGCACGCTTTTCCCTTTCAAATTAATTTGTGTGTTAATCCCTTGCAAGAAATCAATTTGAGTCCAAAAGCTCATTAGTTTGAATATATATTTTTAATTAAAGTATGGTTAGCTTTGCTTTTTTAACTCCACCAATTCCCCCCCCCCCAAAAAAAACTGAGCAAGCATCTGGGCAGTAGAATAACAATGGGTTTGGGTTTGTTGTTCTTTGCTGCCACTCCCTTTTCTTCCAGTTGCCTCTCTTGTTTCTCAGGGGCAGTCTGAGATTGTGGGTGTGCTTGAATAATCCACCTTCAGTTCCAGAATATGGCATGGATCCTAAGATGACTGTATAGAAGGAAATCACAGAAGGAAAGTGTCTGATCCTTCCTTCCCACTGCAATCACTGGCACTCCCTGAAAAGCCTCTCCAGAGGGCGATGGGGACCCCCTGAAAAATATGGAGTGGGAGAAAGGAGCTAATATGGGAGGGAGAATCAACCAAAATCAGGCAGAGATTCTCCTAATTTTGGCTGATTCTCCTCTCCCACTGTACTCCCACTCCATTATTATTCAGAAGGGCCACAATCCTCTGGAGAGGCTTTTCGGGGACTCAGGCAGGTGCCTTTTGTTCACTTATCTTAGAATCTGAGCCTATGAGAGCAATCTTGTGCACACTTACGTGTGAGCAAATTCCACTGGACGCAGTGGGACATAAAAAGGTAAAGGTAAAGGAACCCTGACAGTTAAGTCCATTCGCGAACGACTCTGGGGTTGTGGCGCTCATTTCACTTTACTGCTGAGGGAGCTGATGTTTGTCTGCACACAGTTTTTCTGGGTCATGACTAAGCCGCTTCTGGCGAAACCAGAGCAGTGCACGGAAATGCCGTTTACCTTCCCACTGGAGCGGTACCTATTTATCTACTTGCACTTTGATGTGCTTTCGAATTGCTAGGTTGGCAGGAGTGGGGACCAAGCAACAGGAGCTCACCCTATCGCGAGGATTCGAACTGCTGACCTTCCAATTGGCAAACCCAAGGCTCAGTGGTTTACACCACAGCGCCACCTGCGTCCCTATATAGTGGGACATACTTCTGAGTAAATATGCATAGGATGCTGCCGCATAGCAACCAGTTGTGCTTCAATGGAACCTGAACAATTCACATTTTTGGAAGAACCCAGTGAACTGCGGTTGGTGGAAACTTAGTTGAACAAACCTTGCAAGAGGATAGAAGTGGAGTAGGTTTCTTTGAAGACAAGCGACTCAAAGAGCAAATTGATGAGTGAAGCAACCCAGGATGTTTTAGTAAAACTGAGGAGACTTGCTTGCAAGCAGTAGCTTGGGAGGAACAGAAGGGAAGAACTGAATTCCTCCTATTAAGTTATTTCCAGTTATCCTTTCAAGTGTCTCTTGCTGTGAGTCATCCTCGATTTTGCAAAAGTCCTGGCTTCTTTTCATGTCTTAAGAATGAGATTGTCAAGGAGTTAAGAGGAGGACATGAGGCTTAGAAGGAGAAACAGCTTTTTAAAAAAACGAAAACAGTTCGAGATTTCTTGTAAAAGGATATTGAAAATGTGTGTGGCCAGCCCAAATGGTCTTTCTTTGCTATTCCTTCCCACTACATATAATGCCACATTGCCCAAAAAGTTTTTCTTTTAAAATAGAAGCAGATTCGGGAAGTGGAGGAGCATCTGGCAAGTAGCATTTAACTATAAGAAAATAAAACAGTTCAGCTGGATCCAAAGGCCGCCTGGTCCAACATTCTGTTCTCACAGTAGCCAACCAGATACCTATAGGAAGTCTAACAAAGGACCTTAGTTACCACAGCATTGTTCCCAGTTATGATTCTGAGAAACTGGAATTCAGAGGTATACAGTGGTACCTCTGGTTAAGAACTTAATTCGTTCCAGAGGTCCGTTCTTAACCTGAAACTGTTCTTAACCTGAGGTACCACTTTAGCTAATGGGGCCTCCCGCTGCCGCCGTGCGATTTCTGTTCTCATCCTGAAGCAAAGTTTTTTACCTGAGGTACTGTTTCTGGGTTAGCGGAGTCTGTAACCTGAAGCGTCTGTAACCTGAAGCGTCTGTAACCCGAGGTACCACTGTACTGCCTCCTGAAGTAGAACATAGCCGTTGTAGCTGCTATTCACTGATAGCCTTCTCCTCCATGAATTTGTCTAATCCCTTTTTAAAGCCATCCAAACTGATGGCCCTCACTGCATTTTGTGGGAGCAAATTATGTAGTTTAACTATGTGCTCTGTGAAGAAGCACTTTCTTTTCTCTGTCTTGAACCTTCCAACATTCAGCGTCAGTTGATGGCCCCAGGTTCCAGTATTATGAGAGAGGGAGAAAAAGCTGTTTCTATCCTCTTTCTGCACACATGCATTTTGGAACTCTTGCAGGAGAAAAGCAGCTAATTTGGAGTAGAAAAAATGACCAGTAGAGAGAGATAAGCGCTGTGCTTTCCCTTGAAAGAGGTTCCTGTTTTTCTGCCTCATTCACTGGGTGTTTCTTTACAATTTTGGTGGGTGCAGGGTTGCGCTTACCATATAATTTCAAAGTAGACAACATGTGTGAGTGTGTTGCTCTCTGTGTCTGTTTCTTTCCATTCACCAGTTCTCCAGTGCTCTGCAGCTTCTCTGGCTATCTGTGTTTCCTGGGCTTGTTTGTTCATACAACTCCAACTACCTGCATGACACTTCCAAAAGTATTAGAGGAGAAGTCCCTGCACTGAGGAACATCCAATTGATAATTCATCACGGGGGAAACAACAGAGAAATCAGGAAAATGGAAGCAGGTAATCTGGCCTACGTTTTATAGAGTCTGCAGACTTCTGAAAATGGCAAACATATGTTTTTCCTTGTGTCAGCTTGAGATTTGGAGTCCAGTTATTCTGAGTGCTTCCAAATGGGACCTTAATGTGCAAACGAATCACTGAGGTATCATAAAATAGTCATTGGCAATAAGGTTTTGTTTTGTACTAATAATATTTTAAGATGTATTGGATTGCTCCCCAATAGGGTAAATTCTGATTAAATGCAGGGGAAGGATACTAGGTGACATTTAAATGCCAACAATGTTGTTTTGGCCATGCAAGAAACTTGCATGCATGAGGCACACCGATCCCACATTAAGCACCAGTTTGGAAGTACCTTCAGTCTCTGTTCTGTTTTCTTTCTGTCATATTCTCTATTTCTTTGAGTATTAGATTATTTTCTGAAAAACGAGAGTTGTTATTCGCTTGGATCAATAAGAAAAAAGAAATTAAAGGAAGCCTGTATTTGTTGAAGCTGAATTCAAATACTGAGAGTTGTATTTTATAGAAAATAAATCTTTTGTGTTCAATTTGAAATTTCCTTTCTCTTTTTTTAAAAAAGTCATTGCTCTAGAACAATATTTTGTCAGTAATCAAGTCAGAATAATATATCCATTATTTTAATACTTTGATCACAAGCCACAAAGCAGAGATTTGGAGTTATTGACTGTTTTGCTTACTTTGGTGTTTCAAAAACTATCTCTAAAGGAGAAGCAGGATTTAATTCTCTGCCAATTGGATCATCAGTGTCTGCATTCAGATGGCTAACAGGTTTGTTTGGGCCTTTCATAGTATAAAAATGGATGTGCTGCATGCTGAATTTTGATTATGAAAACATTTTGACAGATGTTTCCAGACAGACATGAAAGAATTAGACCCTTTTATCACCGCAAAAAAATAACAACAAAACCCTGAGGTGGTTTCAGTTTACATGCTCAAGATTCTTTTATCAAATCTATTACCCATTTTCTTGCCTGGGTGTGCAAATGAATTCTTAAGTATTAGTGTGTATAGTTGAGAATTTAAGTGCTGTATTGTCCAGTGGTTAGAGTTCTGAGAATAAAATGGGGTGATAGCTTGCTTCTTAAAAAGGCTTTTACAGTATATTATTACACTGTAAGGAAAGTATAGTATTTTCAGTCACAAACCTACAGTTCCAAGTGCTGCACACACTGTTTAAATCACATGGGAGTCAATGGGATTTAAGCCTCATAACTATGTTCAAGATTACTCCCTAACATAATATATGCCTCATAAATTAGACTATCAGTACATACTCTTTCTTGGAAGTAAGTGCCACAGAGCTCAATGGGGCTTGCTCCCAGGTAGATAGCACAGAATTGCTGTCTTAATTAGCTTTCCTTTTTGACCCATAAAAAATCAGAATAAGGGTGATTTAAAAAGGACATTGACTTGTCAGGAGTCACCACATTTTCAACTTTTATTTAATAGATCTTGTCTACATTGAAGTGAGCTATTACAGCTGCCCGAAAAGAAAGCACTGTTTGATGTCTGTAAGCATAGTCAGCAATCAATAATTTGAAATTTGTGCCATTTGTACCTTTAAAAACTGGCACGTCGTTTTTTATTCCATTTAATCTGCTTACTGTAGATGAAAGTGGGGGTTGAACTGATGCCACAAAGAACATTTACTCATGAAATGGTGCTCGTTTATCCAGCAGTAAGTATATCATTTTGACATTTATTTGCAATATTAATTGTACTTATTGATTAAATTTTTGCACATATTGTAAATTGATTCAAAATACCGCAGAAGGTGACATTATTCTGCTAGCTGTGTGCTGCTATGGTAAATAATCACAATAAAAAGCATATTGTCTGTTAAATAATATTTTTAAAAAGAAACTGTAAAACATAGATCTAATAAATTAAAATCTTCTACATATTTCATTCCTGGCAAATTGGAAATGGAAGGATGAAACATTAAATTAAGACCTCTAGAGGGGATCACATTGCAAAGCATGCTTATATTGACCCCATCTGCACTACACTTTGAAAGCAGTATCATACCACTTTAAGCAGTCAGAGCTTCTCACCCTCCCCCCAAATTATGTGGAAGGTAGTTTGTTAAGGGTGCTGAGAGTTGTTAGGAGATCCCTATTCCCCCTCACAGAGCTACAGTTCCTAAAATTCCCTGAGAAGAGGGATTGAATGTTAAACCACTGTGAAAATTGTAGCTCTGTGTCTCCTAAAACCTCTCAGCACCTTTAAAGAACTACAGTCCCCAGGATTCTTTGGAGGAAGCCGTGACTGTTAACAGTAGTATAATACTGCTTTAGATACATAGTACAGATCTCTATCCTGCCCCACCACCGTGATTGCTTTGATAACAGACTTTGAGCCCTGAACCCAGAGATCAGCCCATACAGCGGTGGGACACATGCTTGGTGCTCCTTGTATGACTCTGGTTTCCTACTCCAATCCAGCAATCAGATGATGGGCTCCATTGCTGGATCAAGGTGGATGTCTGAAGACCACAACAAATCTTATGTTAACAGAAGCGGGTGATAGAATCCCATAAGGTACACTCACCATAGCAATATCAATTCTCAGTAGTTTTATGGCTTATGCATCCAAATATGGCATCACCTGAATAAAATAAGGAGGTGTTGGCTGACTCAGAGGAATTTCCAAGTTCGCTTGCAGAAATACTATGTTAAAATTTTTAGTAAAAAACTTAAAGCTGTGAGGGCTCTACCCCATTTCCTCCTCAGTGTAATCCAGTTGAGACTGAGCATTCTTTGTGGCCATGGAATGCTAGCTGACTGTTGGGGAGGCAGTGGGAATATAATGTAGTGGAGTATCTAGAATCCTGAATGGAGAGCAACTTCATTCTGCAGTATATTGTGGCAGGTCCAACCTTGTCTATTTACCCTAATGAGTCTTAGGACTTTAAACCCTTAAGGATCTAAGCCACAAGAATGGAGATCACTGCTAATATCTGCCAGTTGTATTTTGTGCTGCTAGCTTCAGTTGGTTGTATTTTTTACTGCTAGCCTTTATATCTTTATTCTGCCACTAGAGAAGAAGAATCTCCAAAGCAATGGAAAGTATGTGTCATGTGATATGAGTTATAACATCTAACTATTACATTCTGCCACAGTCTGCCTGGAAATAAGAAATGGGCAGTCCACAGGTTAACTTAAACAATAAAACTTCTGGGAGAGGAATAGCATGAACTAGTCTTTGGGGCTACTCAGACATAACATGGAATTAAACCATGGTTTATCTGCTAAATGTTATCATTACGACCATAATCAGGCTTGAGCCTTGGGTTCACACATTCCTTCCTATTTCTCCTTTCTCCTTCCTTGGCACAGAGATTAGAAACTTCCAGTGACAAGCAAGTAGCAGACTATGGTTTGCTATTTGGCCATACCCAATTAACTGTGGTTGACACAAACCATTTCTTGCTTGCAAATCAGGATTTCAAACCATAGTTTAATCCTAGTGTTGAGGCAAATCATAGTTCCTCAGGTTTGGTTGGAATAGCAAATTATGGTTTCCTTTGCTAAACCAGTAATGGAAGGTAAGGAGGAAGGGGAAAGGAAAGAGTTTACAAGCTTTGACTCATTTGTTTGTTCTCATACCATTAAATCATAATTTAGCCTTGTGTCTGAATACAATTCTTATGCCCCAGATACAATATATGTATGCACACATAAATATACACATACATATATATTACCTGACATTTGAAAGCCCACCTTCTGTAGACTAGTGAGAGCCACTGTGTGCTGCCTGGGAGCTCTATGCCTTGGAAATGAAATGTGACATTTTCCACTGAGTTATTATAGCCACTAAAATAAATGACACTAGATAGAGAAAGCCATGTCAAAAATAAAATTAAACATACAGGAAATTAATCTGTGCAGAACCAATAGCAAAAATTATGGTTCTCTTTCAAAGATGGTGTGGTCTGCTACACTCACTCACAATTATGGCTATGATTGGCTTTGCAAAGCTTCATCTCTCCCCCCCCCCATGCCAATTCTCTCCCCCAAGTGCAATTCTGGCTCAACCACTTAAACTGTGAATAAACAGCATTTTCTCCAGACACATCATCTTTCCTGCTGACTCCTCCTTTTCGTTTCGATTTTAATACAATGAAGAGTTGCTGGAACTTTCATCTTATGCCTTATGTAAGATTTTCTTCAGTGTAATTTCACTGAATGTCCAGATGGAGAATAAAAATAGTACTTTATTAAAAGGGCAGGGGGCTTTGATGGATTGGCATTGCCCACTCATCAGACTGCTCTGGTAGTTGTGGAAATTAAAAATGGTTCTCCCACTTGTACCCAGAACTGCGCTGAAAATTGTATTACAAAATATCTACTTGCTAGGCTGTTTTAGTCCATGCCACAAAAACTTCAGATATTGAGAACTTTGGGGAAATGGGATATGCTTATAAGAGCACGCACAAAATAAAGCTGATCACAGTCATTAGCTGAAAACTACATATTTCGTAGCTAATATTTCCCACTCCCCAAAAATGTACATTTGAAACAAAATGCTGATTTTATAAAAAGATACCCGCAGATGACAAGCACCTAAAGAGACACCCTCTCTCCTTTCACACACAGGACTTGTATGATAGACGTGTGCATTGCCTAAAAAGAAATTGCATTGCCTAAAAACAAAGAAAACGTGTTTCTTGGTTCAGAACCATTGTTTCCAGCCCTGTGCAAATATTATTCAATAGACTAATATGGATAACTGGTCGACATGTCTTTAATCAGAGTCCTAACCGTTGTGGATTAGTGGTTTTCAATCTTCCTACACCCAGGGGTCCCCTTGACTTTTGTGTTGAAGATGCTGCTGGAATTTGCTCTAGAATGTATGCTCAGTTCATACAGAGTGCTCCCCATGCCACTGAGGCTTCATTGATGCCTCTTTGGTACTGAGAGAGCACCCTAAGCATACTCTGCATGATGCAGGGGAAGGTGGCCAGTGATGGGGGTCTTTCAGGGAAGCTTGTCCACCATGACTGATCTTCTTATTGAGGAATCTTGATATCCCTGTAAGGAACCACAGGATTCCCTGCAAGACTGCAGACAGCAAGGATCCTCTCAGACTATCACTTGCATTATCCACTTGCATGTTTCCCCTCTTTATGCAAGCCATAGATTCTTTAAGCTACAGCTAGGGGGCTCTGCTTGTCCATCTTTCAGCTAACAAGACCCTACTGGGCAAAAGGGATAGGAACAGGTCACCTGAAAAGTAACTTCTTTCTCTAGGTCTTAAAGAAAGTCCTAAAGTCTTAAATAACAACCCAATCTCATTAATTACATCATTTTAATAAATGACTTGGTATTTCTCTATATATTTAATTCATGTGTGTTTTTATTTAATGAAAGATTTAGGAGTTCCTTCGTTATTAAGGTTATTCTGTATTAGAATCTTTAATGGAATTTAGAAACTAGCACTGTAATTCTATGCATATTTCATCAGAAGTAAGTCCTAGGTGAATTTCCTCCCAAGTACACTGTAGGTATATATAGAATTGCAGTCTAAACCATATTTGGAAACAAATGTGTCAAGTGTAAGATAATCTGTTTTTTAAGAACATATTACCGTACTTTTCCGTCTATGAGACACCCCCATTTATAAGACGCCCCCTATTTTGGGGGACTTCAAGAAAATGGGGAAGATGTATCCGTGTATAAGACGCTCCCTAATTTTTGACATTTTTTTAGGGGGGAAACCTAGTCTTATACACGGAAAAATACGGTATTTAATTAATTGTGTATAAAGCTTGGAAGTTTAGAGAAACAATTATTTTTGCAAGTTATAAAACTGCATAGGTCTAACTACAATCCACTGGTGGAACATTACAAATGCAAACATTTGCTAGATAGTGGGATTAGCACATCACATAGAACAATGTCTGAATCATGTTACCATGCCTGCAAACAAACACACAACTTGTCATCGGTCTCCAGGCTTGCTAAAAAAAAGGCCTCTCAAACCTCTTTCCAAAAGCATATAAGTTTATTACACTATTTATATCCTGTCATTTTTGAACCAGTGAATCTGCAAGACAGGTAACAGACTTGAATAGAACAAGAACAAAATACCCATTAAAACAATTATTTAAAATATACCAAAAAAAACCCCACAGAAAACCAGCCAGCAACTAATTAGGCAGCAGTAAACAAACATCAAAATCCCAGATGAAGAAAACAAAACAAAGCAGCAGAGTATCCAGAGAAAGCAGGATGTTTAAAACAATACAGTCTAAACCGCTTGATGCTAAAAAGCTAACAGAAGGGAACAGGCTTCACAAGGAAGAGATCTCCAAATACTCTGTTGTACTGCAACAACCCTGTGTCTTTCTCTAGTTGACCAATGGTAGAGGGATCTAGAGTAAGGCCTCTGTGGAAGAACTTAAAAATGTTAGTGGGTGTGTATGGGAGAAGGTGGTCCTTTCAGTATCCTGGAGCCAGATCATTTAGGATTGTGACGGGATGGTCCTTCAGATGTTGTTGGACTCCAGCTTCCACCAGCTCCATTCAACAAGGCAATGGTCAGGGATAATAGGAGTTGCCGTCTAATAAAAGCTGGAAAGTCAGGGGTTCTCCGTCCCTAATTTAGAACTTTAAAAGTCAACACCAGCACTTTGGTATCTGAAGAAGTGTGCATGCACACGAAAGCTCATACCAAGAACTAACTTAGTTGGTCTTTTAGGTGCTACTGGAAGGAATTTTTTTTGTTTTGACCAGCACTTTGAGTTAGGCTTGAAATCTATCTGGGAGCTAATTAAGCTTTTTCAAGACTGGCCGTCTGTCTTCCCTGT